TACAAAGCCCTTAATGACAAGGCTCCATTGTATCTTAAAGACCTCGTAGAGCCTTATCATCCTAACAGAGCACTTCGCTCTCAGAGTGCAGGTTTACTTGTGGTTCCTAGAGTCCACAGAAGCAGAATGGGAGGCAGAGCCTTTAGCTATCAAGCTCCTCTCCTATGGAACCAACTCCCAGTCTCAGTTCGGGAGGTGGACACCCTCTCTACCTTTAAGATTAGACTTAAGACGTTCCTTTTTGATAAAGCTTAAAGTTAGGGCTGGATCAGGTGACCCTGAGCCCTCCCTTAGTTATGCTGCTATAGGCCTAGGCTGCTGGGGGGCCCCATGATGCTCTGAGTTTCTTTCCCCTCCTGCTCTCCTCTCCTCTCCTCTCCTCTCCTCCCCTCCCCTCTCCTCTCCTCTTTCTCCCTATGCTTCTATATGCCACCATTACACATCACTAACTTTGTGTCTCCTCTCTCCCGTAGTGTGTCCTCTCTCTCTTCCTGTACCTTTCTGCAGGTTGCCCTGGCCCTGGAGCTCTACGTCTCTGACGAGCAGTCACCAGCCACATCGACCTGATCAGTGTTTGATTGTTGTGTCTTGTTGCTTTTCTTCTTTCGTCTCTCCTCTATCCACTCACCCCAACCAGTCGAGGCAGAAGGCCGCCCACCAAGAGCCGGGGTCTGTCGGAGGTTTCTTCCGTTAAAGGGAGTTTTTCCTCCCCACTGTCGCCAAGTGCTTGCTCAAGGGGGATTTGTTGGGTTTTCCCTATGTAATAATATTGAAAACAGTAAGGTCTAGACCTTACTTTGTAAAGTGTCCTGAGATGACTTTTGTTGTGATTTGGCGCTATACAAATAAAATTTGATTTGATTTGATTTGATTTGTTGTCAGTACCTGCTAAATGACTTGTTTATTAAAATAAGATCAAAACGGTTTCCAAAACTGTGCTAATGTGAACTTTTAAGGAGCTATAATATGAGTAGAGAATTGTTTTTGACTTTCTTTTATTCCTCAAGAAAGCACTGTGTAACTGTATTTTCAAAGTAGAAACTGAAATGTAAAATGGTTGACACTGTTGCTGGACACCTGTTTGAACGTGGACTCTGAGCAGCACTGTGAGGTTCTCCGTCTGAAGCGCTCATGTTGTCGACTCCGTTCTCTAGCTTCAATAGGGCTCGGTCACCTTTTTTATTCCCCTTCATCCTTCCACGCAAACATACACAGGGACACAAATAGAGTGCGTTATCTACTGTACAGTGGAGATATGCTATCATGTCCATTATTGCAGTCTTTACACAGTGTCTCTCTGCTTCCTTTGCTTTATCAGAATCACCTTGGTCACACACCTCTGCAGTTTCTATATGGCAGAGGCTCTAGTTAGCAACATATGAAAAACCCTGCTCATAGATTTTAGTGAAATGTAGTGTAAATTTAGGCAATGTGATTAGACATGGGGCAAATCCAGAACTTGTAGCTATGTTAGCGTCATGGCTGCATCAATGCACTGTGGGTCTCTGTTAGTAGGTTCATGACTTTGGTCCCCACCAAAATATCTCAGCAGCTATTGGATGGATTGGCAAAACATTCAGTCCAGATAACTGTGTGAAGTTTAATGACTTTTGTCACTTTTCATCTAGCTCCACCAGCAGGTCAGAGTTTTTATTTGTCCAATTTTGCATATAAATACCTGCTAAGTCATTGGCATTCCCATCAGCCTCTGCTGGACTTTGGGTTTAGGGGCTAATTAGCAAATGATAGCATGAAAACAAGCTACACTATGAACATGGTCAACATTAAACCTGCTAAACACCAGCATGTCAGTATCATCAGTGCAAGCGTGTTAGCATGCTGACATTAGCATTTAGCTATTCACATTTAGAGTAAATATTTTTCTTTTACTATTACACCTGAATGTGAAACTCCTGGCATATGAATCCCATGACTGTCTGTCACTACTGTTTATGTTTGATACAGATCAACATTCATATGCAGATTTTAATAATTCAATCTTTCACGTTATGAAACTGTGTGAAGAATGCAGGAAGACAATTTTCAATATCAAACAAGATGCATATTAAATTAAAATAATGTTTATTTAGTTTGAATCAAGTGTGTTTTAATTACTGTTTTTTTTCTTATTCTTATTCTTATTAATATTCTTCTTCTTAAAATAATTACAGCTCTCTATGATTTTGAATGAGTGTCTTTTTTGTTTTTGTTAAAAGAGCAACCCTAAGATTTGCTGTTTATCAGAGCTGGTCTGCTTTTGTCTCTATGGCTTCTTAGTCTGAAATGCTATGATGCCTTCAGGAACTGTGCAGCCAATATGAGGAGTGATGTTAGTCGACACAATCCAATTACAGCTGTGCTGCTTTGCCAAATGGATTCTGAAATGCATTCAGGGTCTCAAAAATCAAATGAGCATCCACTTGATCGTTTTTAATGTCTTTGTGCTGAAGTGAGCCCTCGATGCAATGCAGATTCCTTTTAAATTTGGTTTGAGATTATTTTAAACCGTGCACTCACTGCTATAATACATACTTCATGTTTTCAAGTCATGTAATTCACTGAGTAAACTCTATTATATTTTGAATAAATATGTATTTGCAAGAATAAGAGTAGAGCTGTTGATCTGTGTTCACCACTTACCCTTTCTTCCTGCCAAATTCCATAGCCCTGCTCACTGCACTTCTGTTTGATTTTGGGGTGTCAGGATCCTCTGACTCAGAAGGGACTGACAGGTTCTCTTTTTCTGGGACTTATGATAAAAAAACCCATCATTAATCCATGAATACTATGATCACATATCCTACACCACTTCAGTTTTCATAATGATTTGGATTACAGTTTCACAGTTCTGAGTCCATTGGCCATCATACTCACGGCCTGGGGTGGTCAGGATTGTCTCTTTGATCATGTCACTGCTCAGCACCGCCATTTCAAAGCGTTTGGACCGCTCCTCCAGGAACCACTCTCCCGTCACCACCCTCAGCTCCCTGTAAACACACCATCCAACCCTTACTGGGAATTCATCTCCTCAGCGCACCAGGTCAACTGCCACTGCTAGCTGGATATTATGAATCAATGATCAGTTATTTTGTGATCAAAAGTGATCAGTGATTGATGTAACCACTGCTTCTTCCTCTTGTTCTGCTTTTATTGCAATTGGTGATTTTCTGCATGTAAACTTTAGCTGTGGGTTACACATGTGGGTGGAGAGTGCAATGAGCAAGAGAGCACAAGCTGAGAAAAGTTTTACTCCTCACACTTATTCAAAAACCACATCTTGTGGCTGCAGTGTTACTATTCAGACTAGCGGCGGTGAAGAACTCGGTATCGTTGCTATTTCTGGGACAGATTTTTTTATTGTGTGAATGTTAAGTGTGCAAAGTGAGAGTAAAAAAAAAACACTGCTAAGGGATTCTGAAGAACAGACACCAAATCCGGATGTTTTCCAGTAATGTTTTGATTAGTTCCTGAGGAAGCTAGCTTTCCCTCGAATGCCTCATTTGCAGAGAAAATTAGTCAATAATGACAAGTAACTTTGAGAGGAAACTTGAAACAAAATCTTCATTAGCCATCAAAGATACAGAATACTACAAGCAAATTTAAGGCGTGATGCATGATTGCATTTTTAGCCCTTGAAAGCCTAAAATGTAAGCTAATTTTACTTTTGAACAAAACAAATACATAAAGTCTAATTAGAATACAACAACACTGATAAACAGTGCTGAAATGGGTTGACAGACATAGATGTGGTGTCATTAACTATCTAATTAAAAACATTTGGAATCCATTCCTTTTTCAAAAAAAATACTATTCTGGTCCCTGCAGACATCACACTTACGAGATCTTGGCACAAACGTTACACTTCCACTGGCGTCCATGGGGTAATTTAACGCGACAGTCATTGCAGGCACGCAGCTTACAGTCCTCGCAGAGCACTCCACGGTTGAAGATCAGGCCCAAAGACCTCAGGCAGCGAGCACACTGTCGCTCCAGCAGATCCTGCGGCCGACGGGAACCTTTTCGTTTGATCTCCAGCAGCTCATTCTTCAGTCTCCTGTGGGACAGAAACAGGAGAACATCATGGATGTTATGAAAAGTCAGAGTGAACTGAAGGTGAGTTCAAATAGTGAAGTTCTCACCGTATCCTCTTCTCCTCTCGTTTCCTCAACTTCTCATCTTTCTGCAGCACCTTCAAGATCATTTCTCTTTCATGCTCCAGCAGAAAGGAGAGATTCAGATCCTCCTGTCCCTGCTCCATTGATCCCTTAGTAAGATTCAGGCAGTTAAAATGGCCAATAAGGATGTTGTATGAAAGGAGTCAGAAAGAACTACATAATGCTGAGGACTGCTCCTGGTTCTGTAGCTTTTGGCTGATGGCTGGTTTATTGTTGTTTTAGCACTGGCATAGTCTAATTTTCCCAGTGCCCCTCCTCCAGTGTCTCCTCCTCTAGTATTCTGCCTCTTGGGAAAGCTGATAAGATGTGACCACTTTCTGGAAACCTAGACAAGATCAAACAAATATAAAGAAAAGTCAATAATACATACAGTATCTGACATTAACTAATTAGCACAAAATCTAAACCTACTACCCATAAAAGTGCAGGTCAATATGCCTGTTTTTTCACCAGAGTAATTAAAATAACAATGATTTGCAGGACTACAGGGATAAGCACAATTAACTGGTAGACATTTGACAACTCTGCAGCAGCTTAGCAGCCTCTCAAAACCCTGACATTCAGAGCATAACGCCTACATTTTTCAGCTTCCATTAGTGACACACTTCAACTTTTCCTGAAATTTATGACAAGACTTATATTAATTATCCAGCACCTGCAGTGTCAGTGTAACTCATGATTTGCCTTATTACCTCTGCCAAGGAGGTTTTGTTTTTGGTTGTGTGTGTGTGTGTGTGTGTGTGTGTGTGTGTGCGCCTTTGTATTACTTGCATCATAAGGACCGAAACCTGTTAACGCACTCACACTGTGGGGACTTGGCCATCCTTGTGGGGACCAGAAGCTAGTCCCCACAAAGAAACCACTGAATTTTAGGGTGGCAACATGGTTTAGGGTTAGGATGAGGTTAGGTTAAGTGTTAGAATCAGGGTTAGTGTTAGGCAATTAGTGGTTATGGTTAAGGTTTAAGATAAGTCTACAAGAAATGAATGTAATTCAATGTAAAGTCTCCACATGGAATGAAAACACAGTATGTGTGTGTGTGTGTGTGTGTGTGTGTGTTGGTTAGCAAGATTACAGACAAACGGCCAGATGGATCATCTACATACTTGGTGATTAGAGTTGGGCTAAAAAAGGTCAATGGTCAAGGTCACAAAAAATTAAAAATCTTTAACATGGGACAAAATTTTGAAAAAAATCATATCCCTGTCAAACATTATCATAATCATTTACACACATGTAAGGGACCAAATTTCATCTGCCTCTGATGGCCATTTAAAATTAACACTGTCAACCCCATTTAAAGAATATTTTCTGCCATAACTTTGCCTATAATTAAGAAAGAACCCTGAAATGTTCAGGCAAGATGCACAGTATAACTGCCTATCATACCCTAAACGATGATCCCAATCCGATTCAGATCGAACCACCAATCCTACAATTCAAGACTCTTCTGCATGAGTTATAACTTCCCTGATTATCATAAATGGCCCACAGGGAACAGTGTAAAGCAATAAAAATGTCACTCCTAGCTTTGCTGTGAAAACACTGTGCAGCCCTGATATTTCCTGGTGCCTCTTTGCAAGTTCCTGTACTGAGAGAAATGATGAATGAAATTAATGATGTGAACACACAAACAAAGGGAGATGGAGATAGAGAGATCCATTTTCTTGCAGTGCCCGATTAAGTAAACTACTGTGAATAAGCTGATTTGCATAAAAATAAGCTTTACTCACTGTCAGTAAAACCATGAAGATCAGAAACTAATCCAAAATAATACATTATATACAGGGTTATGTGAGGTACTAAAGAAAGAGATGAAACTCTGTCACTGCTAGTGTAAATAAAGTTGGGAAATTGAACGGAGTGGAGGGCCCTGCACGAGCCCACACCAGCCTACTTCAGTCCTTATTCGTCATGGTCTCTTTTCATCCTCAGCCTTTCTTCTCTTGCCTCTTCTCTTCACTTTACATGAATTAGCACTAATGAATCCAGTGCACATCATCTCAGCTTCATTTGCAACCAAAGGCACATCATGACAGCCGTGATTATAGCATTTTAGGCTGAACTGCAGCTGCACTGTAGCCGATGAACACCCTTTCTTTCACCTTTACGATGTGACGTTGGGATGTAATAGAGGCACTAATGATCATATAGAGATGCCTTTGCATTTATATGATTAAACAGCTGAATATAGATTTCAGGAGGCAGTATGCTCCGTCAAAGTGCTTGTCGAATGGTCAGATCGCTTCAAAAACACCATCTTCAGATGTTAAGGGCAAGAACTGTTTTGTATTGGTATTCGTTTGTTTGTAGGTTTGCTTACAGCATAACTAAAAAAATAATGAATGGATTCGGATGGTTTTACTTGTGAGCAGTAGGTATGGCCCATGGGACAATCCTTTTAATTTGGGTGCTGATCTTGAATCATCATCCAGATCCAGTGCACACTTGGAGAGAAGACAAGTGGAGCTAATACTGTAAGTGTAGCAAGAGGCAAGTTGCAAAACAGACTCTAAAGTCAACTTACATGCAGCCAAATGCTGAGTTGTGTGCATCTATGAAGGACTATAAGTACACATTTTTATTTCAGTCTGCATGGGACATTTATTTAGCTGTTCATGGCGTTTAGTAGTTGCTCAAATCTACTGTTTTTAAATAACTTTCAAACTAATAATGATATCAGTGTGATTCCAAATGCCAGCAGCAGGTTTTCATGGCCAGTGATTCATATTACGAGGGTCAAGCTATGATGGGAATATTACTTTTAGGTGTAGACAAATTGCAGTCTACGATTATACATAAGATCCTGGCAGTCAAGAGACTGTGCCAGGACACTCCTGACGTACTAGGCACACATGACTGACTCTCAGCCAACAACATCAGTAAATATTTATCTGCACTTTTGTTATATTTTTATGGTGCAGTGAGAGCGCAGCAGTATCTCAGCTACAGTAGGTGCGGTGTCCTGATGCAACCCTCCTTGAGTACACACGACGCACATTCTGCTTTTCATGCTCTCTGCCCTGAGCAAACATGTGTGACACTAAAACTTTGGGCTTCTGAGATGAGGGAATGCACTCACTTCTCAGGTCTGCACTAATAATGCAGCTCGGAGGAAAGCACAGTGACTCACCACCTCCTCGGCACAGTGTAAGAAAGGTTTTCTTTCCATTCGCAACACATATTGTCCATGCATCTAATGGATCATTTGTCACAGAGTCTGTGCTCTACCGGGGACATCTGGCCACAAAGCCACACTGTGGTCTCCTTGCTGTTTTGTAACTCTGTGGCATTTTACCATCATTCAGTCTGGTGTTTTCTGCAGGTGGCCGAGATTACAGGCAGCAGAATCAATCTGGCAATTAAAGACCACAGGTGTGCTGGGAGCAGCTGGCGTCCAGTTGGCAGAAAAGCAAAGTAGACACGGAGGAGAAATGAACAGGAGATAAATATAAAACACAGTCATTAGTGAACATTCAGGGGTGGGCAGAGGAACTGAAAATATGACTTTGAAATCAAAAACCAAGGCCACACAGTGCCTCAAAACAGTGTTAGTCCTTCTGTGTTTTTGTGTCTGAATTAGACAGTGGACTGTTTGGATAGAAGCACTCTGCAAACAGCAGCTCTGTCAAACTTTACTGAATAAGTCTATTGATATTTTATAGTTTTCTAACTGTCAACAAATCCTCTAATGATCAAAACCTGATATACTGTAGCTTATTTCTCTGTGCCATAAAGGCCCATTTCTGTGTAATACTATTTAGAAACACGTCAGTGAAGTACAAAGTTGACATGTTGCCTTATCATGAACATGGGAACGAGTCAATCCCTGTACAGCGTCCTGCTGCTGTAAACACTCACTACTTCACCAAATCACCAATTAGTCCCCAGTAAATGTGCTATTTACTCCTGTTTGAGTATCATTTGCTATAAACTACTACATTTGTGTGTTTAGAGAGCCACAGACAGAGTAGGGAAGTCTGCAGGTAACAAGAGACTGATTAACATACTCTCAGTTTGGTCTTTTTGGGGGGGAGGGGTTGGTTTAATGTTTATTTCCCCTTCTGGCTGCAAACTCCATCAGTGCTCCTGTGATTAAATCAACATACATCTGTCTTTTCCAGGTGTTTGGTGCCTCATGTTTTGCTGAAAATGTCATTTAGCTAAGCAAGAGCGATGGTGGTCAGACCTCAGTTACGCTTTGTGAATGTGAATTGGTTACTTGAGCAATAAGTTGTACCTAACACAATATCAGAATGCATAAACACCCACACACAAAGTTAAGTAGAAAATGAGATCAGTAGGCCCATCTCCACTGTATCTATATGTGTAAGGAAACAAGGAACTTTTTCTCCATGATCAGGAAATGATGGAGAACAAACATCCATCATAAAATATATACAAAACCAGGCAGTTATCTAATCCATCAGCCTTCAACGCAATGTGGCCCTGTCCTTTTTTTTTTTTAAATGTACAGCCCCTAAATCCCCCTGTGGTATTTCCCAGGATGCTGTAAGCGTTTGTCTTGAATCATTAATGTGACACAGATGGCAGTAGACAGTGATGATGAATGACACAGACCATTAAACAGCAGGTCACTTGTGTTGGATGCAGCCAGATAACACAGGGTTTAATATGGTCCACACCACACACACACACACACACACACACACACACACACACACACAGGCAGACATACTTTAAGTGTAGAAAACAATTATTCATCAACAAAGGTCAATAATGACACACTTCACAGCTGCTGTCACCATTGCCGTGGCACACAACTGAGAACATAACACACGATGTATTGTCTGTATATATAAGGTAGAGCACACCTCCTCACATTATTAATGACCACCCATCATCACAGTCAGATCATATAATTACTACTTTCCTATTTGTATGTACACATCACATCGTCATCCCAGCCCTGATCACAACTAGGAATCCATCCACCTCAAATGTTATCACGTCATTAAAAGGCTGTTATCAGTTGTTGAGGTCGCCTTTCTGACTGCCTGATGAAATATGATCAAATAATCATTCTTCTTTGGCTCTGTTTTGTTCTCCACAAACACCAAAGAGAAACATCTCTTCAAATGCTCCATTGAGTTTACCAGCTAGTCGCTAACTGTCTGCTGGTTAGAGCTGAGCAGGTCATGTTGAGTGGGTTTTGTTTTTTTAACCTTCCATGGACCTAAGAGGAACTGCAGAGTTGATGATAATGCTCTGTGGGTTTGTTATTGCGCTTTCCACATGGTCATTTAGATTAATGGAGTGTTAATATTTCACTGTTCAGTTTTGTATTGCATTACAGACTCCACC